ATGTCCCAGTGGCCTGAACGCGCATGCTGCCTTGTCCTGCTTCTCCCTTCTGCATTTGCTGTGTGCCTCTAACCAGGCACAGGGAATCAGGAATTTGGACAAAACCTGGAGCACAAAAAGGAGCAAGAAGCTCTTAAAAGACATGCCTGGGCTGTAAGGAAAGAAGAGCAGTCTTTAAGGAGCCATCTGGCTTGTGAAACATCTGCTGGAAACACTACACATCTCAGTGAAAACATGGATGAGCTGCCCAGGGAAGTGGTTGAGTCGCCATCCCTGGAAGGTACTCAAAAACTGTGTATAAGTGGCACTTGGGGCCATGGTTTAGTGGTGGGCTTGGCAGTGCTGGGTTAACGGTTGGACTCCATGCTCTCAGAATTCTTTTCCAACCTAGATGATTTGTATGGTGTCTGGTGGTTACAGATGGTAACTTTTGGCCTGTGTGATATTATACCCAGCATACAGCAACTAGCTGAGACCTCCTAAGGGTGACTGAGTTATTGACCACTGGGCTGGAAGTTGGCAGTCCCCTGAGAAGTAGTGATTACAAATTGATTGCATTCGTTTTCAACAAACAGAAAACAGACTTTCAAAGGGGATACAGGTACAGGGGCTTGCAAAGGGGCAGATTTGTCATCACCGAGAAAATTAGAAGGAAAATTGTAAGCAAAAAAAACCCCCCAAATGAACATTAGGAGTACCTTTAAAATAAGATTACTTAATAGCTTTAAAAAAACTCCAACCCCCTGATTTAATAGTTATCAAAAAAGTGTGCCAAGAGCTGTGGACTGTTGACATGACCTTTCAGTGCCCAGTATCTCCAGATAACTTATCTCCTACCATGGTGTTTCTGAGCTATTCTGCACCTGCAGGTTTAACTGTAGGAAACCCTGGCACCCCAACAGCTCTGGAGTGCCCCCAGAACACAGGCCAGAGGCAGCAGCAATGATTGGCTTTTTATTCAGCTTTATTCTGAAATGCACAGACATTGTGCACGCTGCTGTCCTGCACCTGCTCCAGGAATGGACAGAGGAGCTCAAGTCTTCTAAAAATATCAAAGTCCTGCAGGATCTCTGCCACCCAGTACCTCCCCTCCACCTTTTCTGTTTGTCCTGAGTTCCCCTTTCCCAGCCTCCAGCTGTTTCCAGCCAAAGCCAGAGGAGTTCCCTGATTATCACCTTTGTCGGGATGTGGATTGGGCATCTGACTTTCCACTTCTACAGGCAATTAGAAGGCTGGCCTGAAAGGCAAAGTGTCAGACACTCCTGAAAGGAGTCTGTGAAATGCAAAGGGGAAAAAAAAGAGAGGGAGAGGAAATAAAGTCTCGCCAGCAGGGAAAAGCTGCAACTTCTCACGGAAAAGAAAACTGAAAAGCAGCCTTGGTTCAAATGAAACGGTGGAAACATCAGACAGGGCAATATAGCCCTGCTAGCAGTGGCATTTAATGTGGCTTGAAACTTTTGTTCTCTCCCCTAAAATGGAGATAATGGATAGAGATAAAAGATAACTAAAAGATAACAGAGAGAGAAAGTGCTGCTAGCATGCCCAAGCCTTGCTCTTAAAGAAAGCTTTCCTGAGACCAATAGGTCCAGCTTCTGACCCCATGTCCAGCTCCACTGACTATTGCAGGCCTTCACAGATCATCTTGTGAGCAGTTCCACAAAGGCTGGCCAGAGCTCACACTTGTGATAAGCTTTAGCTCGGGTGTGCTGCCACTGTGGATACTCACACAAGGGTTCAACTTTAAGTGCGGGACTAACAGGGCTGTTGGAGTCCTTCATGTGAAGAGCACACATCGCCTTCTCCTTGAGCAGCACCAGAGGGCTGTACACTTTCAGTAGTGCAGGAGGATGCCCAATGTTTTAATGCTGGTTTTGCCTTAAAACACCTTTACATTTTTTGAAATCGTTTCTGGTTATATGTTTTCGTTACGCCCCTGCACTGCTCTTCCGTTTATTTTTTTACAATACAGCATCAAAGTTAATGCTGAACCACGCAGCTGCCAGGTACGTAAGGCACATTTTGCCTTTCCTTGGAGGCTGTGGTGCTGCTCAGCCGGAAAGGAGAACATGACAGCTTGGCAGCCTCTGTATGTGTTATAAGTTGTACTGATACAAGTAACACACAGAAGGTATCACAGCAAAAGCAGCCTGGATTGAAAACGACAGGCTGGGAGATAATTTCCTGCAGCACGGGCTGATGTCTGAAGAAGCCTCAGGTGTGGCAGTATTTCATCCACAGCCTTCTGCCTAGGAGTTTCCACTGTAGAAATCTCTGGAGCCTTCCCTGCATCAGCCTGAACTCTGAGCCAGCAACATATTCACTGCAAAGCCAGCTAGAGTTTAGAGGGGTGGTGTCCTGTCTCCCCAAAAGTGGGGAGCTTCAATCCAAATGTGGGCTAAAAACTAGCCCTAGCAGAGGTGCTGTGACATCTGTGTGGCTGCCCTAGCAATAAATATAAGTAGCCATGTTGGCAGAAGGGCTGGCAGCAGTTCATCACTCACAGATTTGCATCCTGTCTCTGCCCTGCAACACCCACAGTTCTCCTCACAGTAAAACCAGGCCTCCCTGGCCATCCTCTCCCCTCCTCCTCTCCCCCCCCACAAGGTTTTATGTACCTTGTGTCCTCATGACACCAGAGCAAAGGGAGCCAGATGCAAAGCAAGGGGAGACAGACACAGTACTGGATTCTGGTGGAGGGGATCAGCCTTGTCCACCCCACTGTTCTCACTGTCCATCCCTGCTGTGATACTCTGCTCCCCACTTCCCATAGGATTTGGCTCAGTTGCACTGGCTGGAATTTCTCCAGGGCTGGGGGATGGATGATGTCTGGAATTGAAGTGATGAAGGTTGGAAAGGAGCCAGGGTTAATGCTTTTCATCCTCAGGTAGCAACCAGCTCAAACACTTTCTTTCCCAGGAGCAGTGTGTGGCTAAATCATCAGCTTTGTTCTTCCTGGTGACAGATGATCTCACGGCCTTCAGGCTATGCCCTGCCCCGATCTGGGTGGAGAGGAATGCCAATGCCATTAAGATAGATGTTACATAGTCATGAGAAGGAAATGACCAGAGATCATTAGGGCACATCCAATTCTGATTCCAATAATCCATGGTGCTGTAGCCCAGTGCTGGTGAATGGTGAGTCTGTGCTTCTGCCTTTTTTTCTGCCCTTAAAGCCTTTTGTCACAGGTATTTACACAAGTGCAAGGTGCCAGCCTACCCATAGGCCAAGGTGACAGCAGGGATGCCTGGGTGACCTCAGACCTGGGGTCCTGCAGGGCAGCAGGAGCACTTCACATCTCAGCCTTCCTGATGAATGACACAAAGCCACTGCAGAGTCCAACAGGTCCTTTTCACCTGGTCCATGGCCATCCTGTCTAGCCAGACAAACTCATTTTGGCGTCCTTCTATCAGCAGTGGGTTCAGCCAGAGCCTCAGGGGCCACATCCCACAGACCCACAGAGATGGACAGCAGCCATCACTTCATCCCCAGAACCGCTGGTATCTCAGTAGCTTTGGGATTGAGGAGTCTGACATGAAAGTGGAAATCATTGGTCTCGCCCCTGGTCAGCAGTTCAGAACAGTTCAAAAAGGGATTAAACCACATTATCATTGTGTTTCTCCGGGGGATGTGTTGGTCAGATGTCCATCAGGAAGGGACGGAGTTAAAATATTCTCCTGAGGAGGGAGAGGCTGGGAGGCAGCTCATCTCTTTCTGCACTACAGCTGCAGCTGAGCCTGCAGGTTCTGGCACTGCTGCAGCTCAAGGGGACGGTATCACCTCTTGCTGTCAGATAAGATTCTAGGTTTTCTCTTAAAGCAAGTGTTGACTTAAACTCCACAGCAGCTCAGGGAGAAGTGCTGGCTGTGCGGGCTTTGCTCCACCTGCTGATTCAGCCCAGTCCCAGTGCCCATGTGAGTAGATAAGCTTTACCAGAAGCAGGTAGGATCACATAAGTAGCTGAGAAGAGCTGTTACTGTGTGTATATTTATAAGAGCTGGACACTGAGAGATTTTTTCCCTCCATTTTTAGACCTAAAAATAAATATAAGCAAACACATGGCTACTTTAGTAATTATATTTTATTATTTCCTTGAGTTTGAAAGCACACAAGACTTGGAAAATATCCCTAAATTGAAGTAACTGTAATACAGAATCAGAAAAACAAACTGTTACTCTTGAGAGCAAACCTAAGTCCTAATATTCCTGTTGATTCCAGGACTCTAAATTCTGCCTAAAACTGTGCTAAGCCCACGGTGCAGGCACCAAAAATATAAACTGTTGAGTTCCAGATAATATTTTATGTACGTGTAGATATGTATATATGCATACAATACATACACACATATATATATGCCCTTTTAGCTGTAGACAACATTTTATGTACATATATGTACATATATGCATGTAGTCAATGTGTATATATCCACAATGTAGACAATACATACACATATTCATATACTATCTCCATGTGTGTAGGTGTGTGTGTATAGATTATATACATGTAAGTGCTTCTGCTCTGCAATTCACCATAAACATGACTTGGACAGACAAGGGCTAAACCCAGGAGTCTAAGAATGAAAAGCTGAGCCCATGCATTACTTTTTCACCTGGTGATGGTCACTGTTCCTTTGCCTGTAGCTGTTTGCAATACTCCAGGGTGGAGACTGAAATGACTTGGACACAGTTCCACCAAATTCAGTGAAATTTATCTAGCATCAAGGGGGCCCTGAGAAGCATTAGGTTCCATAGGTACCCTTACACAGGTATATGTGAAGATGCATGGTCCTCTGAGCCCACCTGTATGGACAGCGCCTTCAAGTGCACCCTCTCTGCAGGGTAGCAGGGCACGGGGGGAGCCCCAGCCCCAGCTGCTGCTGACCTTTGCAGGCAGATGTCCCCCCCAGGACCTTTATCACCGGCCCCAGGGTTGGGGGCCAGGGTGGCTCTTGGCAGGCCAGCAGGGAAATGGGGGACTGGGTGAGACCCCATGCCACCCACTTCTCACACCAGTGCCATGCCATCCGTGACACAGCTGCACCTCTCGACGATCATGTTGGGAAACTCGGCCGCTTCGATCTCGGTGCGGTTGCCCCTCTTGACCAGGTACATCATGGGCAGTGAGGAGCTCTCCGCCACGGCGCAGGTGCGCTCCTCGTAGCCGAAGTGCCACAGGGGGCTGGGGGGCTGCAGGCAGCCCCCTGAGCACCGGTAAGCCTGGTACCCTGCCGGCTCGATGATCCAGTACCGCGCCCAGGAGAGCTCGCGGAAGCTGATGTAGTGTTCCTGCCGGCAGCAGGTGGACTTCCCCAACATCGCCTCCTCCCTGCAGTCCCCGGGGCCCCTGCGTACCAAGGGAGAAATGAGAACTGATGCTGTAACTGGAAACGGTGAAGCAGGGGAAATAATCCAAATAATCCCCCCTGTTAATAGCACAGATGGGCTCTGAGAGATGAAACTTGGCCCAAGCTCAGGGTTCGTTTGAGTATTCAGACAACAAATATGGGAAGAGGAGAGGGGTGATTCAGCAGCAATTTTCTAACTCCTACTTTCTAACTAACACATGTGAGAACAAGCGTTGCCCACCCTGGGTTGGCACACAAAATAATTCAGGGGCAAAATTACTTCAGAGACAGTACAGATTCAGGCTTCATACGTACTCATAGTCTTCCAAGTTGAGGGTGTAAAGCACCAGTTCAGGTTTGCCTAGGGCTTTATCCTTGGGGTCCTGAGAGGTGAAACGCACGGCTTTGGCCATTTCTGAGGCATAGCTGCCCACTCTCTCTCCTTCGATCCAGACCTCCAGGAACATTGGCTCCCGCCTCTTGTTTCGCAGCCAGTAATGCACAGCCTGTGTCACGTCGAAGTTCTTCCAGCCCGACTCGCGTATAGGAACCAGCCTGCACGACAGGGGCTTGGCATTAGAGAAAAGCCCATCAGATAAAGCCTGGGCTTGCAGAGCTGTTATTGCAGCAGAATAGTTTGCTTCCTGTAGATTGTCACATGCCTTGATTGCATGATCATTTTTGCTGAGCACTCTGGGCAAGCACCCACAGAAATTAACTGACACCTCAAAAAGAAGTATACGTATCTAACAGACACTGAAGGGCTAAATAAAACCCTCTGTGCATGCTCATGTCAAGGTATTCATTCATGCTCAAACAGAAATAGGGTGGTGCAGGATTACATGCAACCTTAGTACTAGTGATGACAGCCTGTTAAACACCACTATCTCCCACTGCTCCTGTCCTAGCTGCAGTAGGAACTTAAGTCTCTACCCACCCAGAAAATGCCTTCAGGGAGTGTAAAACTTCCACAGAGCTCGAGGCTACAGAATCAGATGCTTTTTGCATAATTTACTTATTTAGACTAGATAATGAAATGACCAATGGAAAGAATACCAGCAGCCTAACACACATGAGTTAGAGAGTGAGAGAGAAATGAACAAGGTGGAGGGTTTTAGAGGGGAACACCTAGCAGTACATGGCATCATTTGACACAGAACTAGATTATTGCAATGAATCTTCATATACTGCAGCCTTACCATAATATCTGCTCTTATAAACTCATTCTGGGTTTAGAGGCTACAAAGCCTAACTCTACAGATGTAACCCTGTCAGACTGACCTGAGCCACAACTACATGATACCCGAATCCAGCCCAGAGGACCTGTAGCCCATAACTAGAGTCCTGCCTTTTCTTACCTGGAGTCTATCAGAGAGGTCCTGTTGGTACCATCATGCTGCCGTTGCACCCAGTACACACTGACTCTGGCATTGGAGACAGGCCTGTGAGACTGCCTGGCAGGAAGGTTTGCTCTGTCCAGAGGCTTTTTGAAGAGTTTTAGTTCAGCCATTGTGACTTCGCTGTTTTTAGGTATTCTGCCCTCCATGTCAAAGATCAGGTTCTGGCGCGTGGTGGTGTCTGAGTAGAGGACTTCTGGCATACCTGTGCAGTTGGGAACAAAAAAGGTGGCCTGTCATTGTCATCCTGATGAGCAAAGGCCGCACATTTCATACACAATTATCATCACAACGCACCTCTTCCACGGTCCCACATCGAGCCTTGTGGCAGAGCCAGCCACTAAGCACACTTTTTCTAATGCATATTTGAATCCAATGTCTTGCAAATACCCTAATTCTTCTCCTGTCTCTCTGCAAACTGGAGGAATAAAATGTCCTACATAATTTGACCCCAAATTGAGCAGACCCCAAAAGGTGTGCATCTCTGTGCCAGTGCTGGGCATAAAAGCAGGAAATTGCACCACCTGAAATAAAAAAGTATTTTCATTTGCTGCCCAGGGTGCTATGTATGTCTTTTGAAAGCAAAATAAGCTCTAAGTGTCCTTCTACAGCCACCATTGTACACCATGATGTCTGTACAGCTGATTGCCTCCTTCATATTTCTCCCAGCCAAAAAAAAAAATAAAATCTAAAAAACAGATGAGGGAAAGCAAAACATCCTCAAAGAGATTGATTCCTGTTATAGGACTTGCTGTAGATTTGACCCCAAACCTGCAAGTTCTGCAGTTTCTACTGCCTTTATTTTTCTAAATCGTTTTTCCACCTGCCCAGACTGTTGCTGGGTACCAAGGCTTTCCTCTTCTATTAAGCTCCAACAGCAGCCTGCCTTTTGCAAGGACTGTGGGACTCCCTCTCCAGGTGCAAGGAGTTACTAGTGCTTTTTTATCTTTAAGGTGCTGTTACATGCACCTCTTCTACCCAACTGAGCTTTAGAGCCAAACCCAAACCTCATTCTCCCCGTGGGTTTGCCGATCCTGAGGCTGGCCGCGAGAGTGGGCAGCTCCCCCTGCCAGCGGCACAGTGCTTTAGACGCTCCCAACGCCAGAAACGTTACCTGCGTTGCCAGGGATCCCCCTTAGGATGCCGGCCAGGCTGGGCAAAGCTCGGCGCTTCACCCTCTGGCGCTTCAGCATGGAGATGTACTTGTTCTTGACGTGATCTGGGATAACCAGATCCACCAAGTCTCTCTTATGAAGTTTAGGGATCTCAGAGAGCCCCAGCTGCTTCAGGAACGCCTCCTTGAACTCTTCCTGGGTAAATGCTTGGACCGTGATGACCAGGCAGAGCATGCAGAGCATCCAGGCGTACCTCAGGTCCATCCTCCTCCGTCAGCGAAGCAGCTGCCTGCCTGGCAGAGATGAAGGGGGGATCTCTCTGGGGCTGCTCTCAGCAGAGATGTGCTGGCAGGCTGCCTGAGCTGGACAGAGATCCCCTGCACTGGGGTTTTATAGCCAGCCTCGTCCCACTGGCACAACAAATTTCACAAGTGGGGATGAAGCAGAGGACTTGAAAGGATCACTCCCCTGTTGGTAGACACATGCCAGTTTAACACCTTCATCTACTGCAAAGTTAATACAAGAAGGTATAGGGGGGCTCCCAGATTCCTTCACAGGGGAGAAGTTTCCATCTTTTTTTAATTCCCTGTAAATGTTTGCCCAGAAACACCCTGAGCTATCAGTGTCCTCTGTTCAGACTAGGTAAGGGAGGAAACACATGTGCAGAGTACGTTGCTTTAGGTACTGCACCATATGATTCTTAAAGGAAGTGTCAATTTTTACTGCAGGAGACTTGCTACCTAAAATAGCCAATATCAATCAGGAGAAGCTTTAGGTTTAGCTGGAAGTCCACTTTTATGGCAAGCATTAAAAAAATCTTTTAAATCTTGGAGGGGGAGAGGGAGGGAGGAGGTACCACTTTGATCTCTGGATATTTGTATCAAGTGTATGAATCAGGGCAGTGAATCACAGCAGTTGAATGATTTATGTCCTTTTATGCTGCTTCTGAATCACAGAAGGTGGAAGATGTACAGGCATGACATTTTAGAAAAATGTCCCATCATTCTTTATGGATTCCTGTGGGTTTTAGTAAATACTTGTGCTTAGAAGAAGAAGGCCTTTATGTAAAGGCAGATCACCTTTCAGTGAATATGAGAAACCACTACACTCTTTCGCAAGATGGATGAGGAATATTGGTATTTTGGATGCTGTTAACAACCATAATAGAATGCTGGCTCTGGAGAGTGAAGCTGACCTGGAGGTTGGCATGGGGAGGCTGCATGTTTGCCTTGAAGTCAACCTTTAAACGTTAAGCTCACATCATTTTCTTCCCTGGCCTTTGCTGGCATAAGATGTGGAAATCTATTTTTGACACCAATCCCAGGAGAAGTGAATAGAAAAAATAGAATGTGATCGACAAAAGTGCGAAGAAGCATGGCACTTGAAGTTCTCATCCTATCCAGCAGTCACATGCCTGAGCACACATACAGATGTCCTCAGCATCGGAGGTCCTTTGGATTTTATACCTCTGTAAATGATTTAAAACTGGTCCAGTTTCATCCAATGGTGTGCCCTGAGGACAGTCTGGCTGGAGGATTCAATGTAATGAACTTGTACAAAAGCACTCCTGTTGTGGTTCATCCCTCATTAAAACAAGTGTCAGCCGAGGCAGCCTGTTTTGTAGCAGAGGAAGGCAATAAAACCGTCTGAAAGAGCCTCACTAAACACTTCTATTACAGCTCACTTTGTCTTTACAACCTTTTAAGAAACTTGTCTCCTTAAACATGATAAAGCCTCTGCTAGATGTTAAAAGGGTACTTTATTTAGCTGAATCGAGTTTTAAGGCTAAAATGGAAACAGATTACAAACTAGCAGCTTGTGCATGGCCCAAGGAAGTGCATTCTTTAATCTTGCCCTTTATGTAGCATCTTTCTCTGTGGATGAATCTTATACGTCCGTTTGTATATTCATTCAAAGTATATTGATTCCCAAGACACAAATAGCAGTCAAAAATACCCACTTTATTTGACCGCTTCAGCCTCAATTCATGTAAAAAACTCTTGCTTTTGCAAATAAGAGGAGGGAAGGTTTTTTTCCTGAAATCCTTGTGACCCTCTCAGCCCCTCTGGAAGGCTCCATACTCCACGTTCCCTCCCTCAGGACTCCTTCTCCAGCTAAATGGTACATTACTGATCCTCAGGGGCTGGGACAAATGCAGCCACACTGATGAACCGTATCAGAAGATTGGGTTGGAAACCCCACCAAGCAATGTTCAGGTGGCTCATAAAGTTTCTTAGATTCTATAAGTGTTGGCCAGCTCAGTTCCAGCAATGAATTTGTGTTGATAGGATTAGAGTCACCTGGATAAAACTGCAGGTCATGGATTCGTAATGGTCTCTCTCTTATGTCACAAAGATATGATCCCATATTTATTTATCCATCCAATTAGTCTTTGCTCCAGAGAGTGGTCCTGCTGTGCAGTGAGTGCTCTTGAAAGAGCCACAATAACATGAAATGAAAATGCCTGATTGGTCCAGCAGCACCCAGCTTTCTGGTATCCGGATGTGATTTCTCCCGTGGCTGATGCCAAATCTACCAGGACTCTCCACTGTCCAATGTGTATTGGAAGGTGATTTATGGACTTCACAACTAAAATAAAATTATTGACCAAACACAGTTGAAGCTAGGAAGATCAACTAAGAAGAAAACAGAGGATGTGGATTGCAGGCTTTTCACAGGAGAGTGATTATCTGGTCCAATTGGAGGATTTGCCATTCCACCTTTGTCATGCAAACAAGAAAAAGTCAGGAATTTTATAATAGCTCTTTTTGTGTAATGTGTATTAGAACCTGCATGGCATATTCAAAATGTCAAACAGAGAATTTGAAGAGGCTGCAAGGGATGAAGTATGAGAAAGTCCTGGTTTTAATAAAAGCCAGTTAGTTCCTAGCAGAGAGAGAATCTCTAAGCTTTTAATTTTGTTATAAGCAGTTCTCTAAGACATTTTCTGGGCATATCCAATGCAATGATTTTTGGTAAATAAATCCAGTGGGTTCAAAGACAAAGTGTCAAAGGCTTACCCTAATTATGTAGCTATTATCCCGGGAAACAAGAATGTTTCAAATGTATTTGCAATATTGAGGATCTGAATATTTAACTTTTCAAGATTTGAATTTTCATGGACACAACTCTTTTGTATTGCAGCTGGGCTCATATGAGAACAGCCCTTGCTTGAGTGATGTGAAAGATAAAAATTTTTGTGTGGTCCAAGATGTGCCCATATTCGTGCCACAAGTTTATTGTACAGAGATGGGAGCACAACTCTATGGAGATTTTAGTCTGCTTTTCCCCAAAGTTAGGGCCTTCTAAATCTAGGAGTGAGGAAGTAAAAATAGTAGTGATTAAGATGCCGTTATAAACATACCAAGTTTAAAAATAATTCAAGTATAGGTTCTGTTTGGTATTCTTTTTCAGCCTTAAACACATCATGTTTTACTTAGCTAACAAAACACTGCAGAAGAGGCTGGTCATGTGAAGAGCTGGATTAGGAATTTCAAAACTGGAAGTGAACTGCAAGCTATGCGTGAAGGCATGCCCTTCTCACATTGCCTCACCAATGTGTCTCATCAGCCACCTGACAGTGCTTCAAACTGAATATTCCTACCAGCAAATCCAGGCTACACACTTTTAAGTGGGATTTCACTGGCATCTTTGGCTCCTTTCTGGACTGGCATGGTCTGTGCTGGTGATGGAACCCCTGTTCCTCTGCAGGAACTGGCCCCGTGTGAAACAGGTCCAGACAGCAAGCATGGAGCTCACAAGCCCACCAGTGGAAAGCTGCCCCACTGCCAGCAGCCTGATTTCACACAAAACGGGTTTATGACCAATTTCTAAATAGTGGCCAAGTCAAAAAGTGTTTCCATTTCCCATCTCTGAAGCTGTGTAGTCCTTTCAGCACAGGATGAGAGTGAGGTGTCACCAAGAGCACATTCTCTGGGTTGGTGGCTTAGCCTGCCCTTGGTGCAAGCATGGCTGGGGGGGCAACGCAGCACAACACTCGCCCCCTCTGCCAGAGAGGCAGCCCTGTGTGCCCATAGTGCCTTTACAAGGAGCGAAAAGTGATGTATCCCTCACTCCATCAACCCTGTGTGACTCCAGGGACAATGGAAAATGACCAGTGGCAGTTACTCAGTGAGACTCTGTTACTCCACAGAGGCAAGACCTTTCAGAAATTTGAGAAATTCCTCTGACACAAAGAGCAAGTGAGCAGGCCACAGGGTTACTATCACATTTGCTTGTCACTTTAGCTCCAAACATCATCAGCCACTGGCCTGGTCTAGAAATGCTCTAATTTGTCCTGTACTTGTTCCTTGAAAATGGCATATGCTTGTTGAAAGATACTGGAAACTGTCTTGCCAGGGCAATGACTTTCCATCCTCCTCTACATCAAGAGACAGATACTCTTTTGTTAGTGTATAGAATCATAGAATGGTTTGGGTTTGAAGCGGCCTTAAAGACCATCTAGTTTGAACCTCCCTGCCATGGGCAGGGACACCTTCCACTGGATCAATTTGCTCAAAGCCCTGTCCAACCTGGCCTTGAACACTTCTAGGGATAGGGTATCCACAGCTTCACTGGGAAACCTTTTCCAATGCCTCACCATCATCACAGTAAACGATTTCTTCCTCATATCTAATCCAAACCTCCCATCTGTCAGTTTGAAGTCATTACCCCTTGTCCCATCACTACATGCCCTTGTAAAAAGTCCCTCTCCAGCCTTCTTGTAAGCCACCTCTAGGTACTGGAAGGTGCTATAGGGTCTTCCCAGAGTCTCCTCTTCTCCAGGATAAACAATCCCTAGTTCTCTCACCCTCTCTTGCTGGGAGAGCGTGAATAGCTTGCTCAGTGTACAGAGACAGAATAAAAGCACCCAGGACTTCTGTGGGGCCAGTATAGCTCACTGGAGTCTGTGTGTGTGCTCCCCATGGTCTCAGCCTGCTCTACAAGAATGTGGCATGGAAAAGTTTCAGAAGAGATATCCTGATAACACAAGACATCCAGTTTTATCCATCTCCCAGGGCCAGACTGAAAACAGCAGAGCCACTCAATGTAGTGTGTTGATCTGCACTAAATCCTTTATGCTGGTTGTGATTTGTTGCAAAAATTTGGCCGTGTTAATTTTTGTGCCAAATGGCTTTGTGCTCAATAAGGTATCACGTGATTTCCCTGCCTTCCAATCATCCCTGTCCACCCTCCAGTGAGCATAAAATCATAAAAGGGACTTTATATCTGTGTTGTGAGCACTGACTAACATGACTCTGGGA